GCCCAGCTTTTACCACCTGGAGGTGTCCTGCTGAGCTGGCAGTGCCGCACCAACCCCTTGGGAAGGCCCGGGTGGGGATGCCGGGCGCCCCCCGACCCTCACCGCGGTCCCTTCGCCTCCGCAGGCTGGCTTAGACGGCTCCTACAGAAGCCCAAGGCCCGCTCGGTGGAGAGCAGCCTCGACCCCAACCGCTCTGCTTCGTCCTCGCCTTCCTCCTCTTCCTCCTCTGCCGAGAGCTCCGGCTCCTCTCCCAGCCTGAGCTCGGCCAGGTCCATCCGCCTGGTGGACATCCGCGCCTCGGGCGGCGCCCGCTGGACCAAGAGCTACGACGTCTGCGTCTGCCACAGCGAGGTGGACCTGGAGCTGGCGGAGGAGCTGGTGTCCTACCTGGAGGGCCAACCCGAAAGCTTCCGTTGCTTCCTCCAGCTGCGGGACGCGGCGCCGGGGAGCGCGGTGGTGACGGAGCTGTGCGGCGCCGTGCGGAACAGCCACTGCTGGGTCCTGCTGGTCACCCCGGGCTTCCTCGGCGACCCCTGGTGCAAGTACCAGATGCACCAAGCGTTGGCCGAGGCGCCCATGGCCAACGGGCGCACCATCCCGGTGCTGAAGGACGTGGATCGGAAGGATTATCCGGTGGAGCTGCGGAGCCTCTACTACATCTCCGTGGCGCGGAAGGAGAGCGGCTTCAGGCAGATCAGGGACACCGTGGTGCGCTGTGAGTATGAGTTTTGGTGGCGTAGGGGCTGGGTTCTGTAAAATTCTTGGGATAGCGGGTGGTTTTTTTGGAGGGGGGTTTGTCGATGAAAGGTCGAAATCGTGACAAACTTATCTCCACCGCGGCGGGGAAGCCGGCACTTCTTTATGGCAGCGCTGGGAAGCACGAGGGGTGGCTCCTCCTGGCGTGCTTCGGAGTTACATCAAAAAATCCAGCATTTTATATCCTTTATCTGCAAAGTCGTGGTCTTTAAGGTATTTGAACATAAGCACGCGTGTTATGCTGTTAATTTTGACGTTTACACTGATTGGTCCACCCTATTAACCAACTTCATTAGTATTCCTATAATATAATCATGGGTTATTTTACTGATCGAGACCTCTGATCTACAAATTAGGATGGGGAGGAGGTGAGGGCCTTCACCTTAAGGTTCCTTAGTTTCTCTGGTTTCATCCCGTGAGAAGACACGCCGAGAATGGGCGCTTTCACTCCCTGTCCCTGTCTCCCTGCCTCCCTGTTCTGGACAATTTCACGATGAGCAGCAGGTTCAGCTTTTGACCTTCTTCGTCAGGCAGCAGCTGTTGTTTCGGAGCATCCGTGAGGTTTTGGGTGTTTCTTACCCTCGTGTAAGCTGATTGCATTAATACAGAGGGTTAGTTATTCCTTAAAGCAATTAAGGCGTTCATGAAAAGCAATTAATTCTCAATGAAAAGTAATTATCTGTTCAAAATCCAAACTTGACGATAACAAATCGGTCGCTAACGGGGCTCATCCTCTGCCTCCGCAGACCTCCAGGAGCTGTGCCGGAGCTCCGCGAGCGGGACGGAGTAGCACCAGGAGGTGTCCCCGCGGGTGTTTCGGTGCTGCCACCGCCGGATCCCAACGCAACCGTGTCCCGACGGACCCTCGGCGGCGGGGGAGCAGAGGCTGCCACGTCCTGTGGGTGCTGCCACCCCCTCGGTGGGGACGAGGACATCCTCCGGCAGGTCCCCACACGCAAACACTAAGCTCTGACAGGGTGGTGGTGGGGGGGTGTCTTCAAAGCTTCTTGTGGCCCCCCCCAC